AACATTCCCCTCCAGGCTTTCCAAAAACCACACACCACAGTAAAAAAGTTTCCCTGCCCTCATTTTACCAACCAGTCTCTAACCACACACCCAGAGTTGAAATTCACATCTGGCAAAATTTAGGCTTTTCAACTTACACAACACTCGGGTTTCATATATTTCATGGGATTTATTAATAGAAATAAATAACCTGACTGAGGTTGCCTCATTTTATGGTTTTGGATAATCTGTCTTTTTTTTTTCTTAACTGAGTTGTATTTATTGAGATGTCTTAGGTAAAAGAACAAGTTGGCCATTGTGCCCGAACTCTCTGTGGTTGAAGATTTAAATTTGGCAACCGGTAGAACCATCTTCATTGGTCTTTCCAACCCATTTATTAGAGTTCCTAGAAATGAGAAGCAAAGAGCGCCCTCTCACTTTATGGAGAAGTTTCTTTTCCTTTATCTGTAAAATGCATACTCTGCAAGATCTGTTATTTGAAGAGTTAATATCATCATACAGTATAGACTGTGATCAAAAGTTACTATCTTGCCATACACAATCCTAAAATATCTTATGCTCTTTGCATAAAAAGATGCTATGAAAACTGAGCAAATTAAAATTAGGACATTCATATTGCTTATCCAAGTATCTTCCTGCTTTCTCTCCCTAGATAATAGACCCATTCTATGTGTGGCATCCCTATTGTTTCTAAGATAAAATACACACTCCTCTGTTTGGCATTTAAAATCCTTCACAAACTGCCTACATTCTTTCTAGCCATCCTGAATTACAGATTGATCTCCCTCACAATCTATATTCCAGCTAAACTGGCCTATTTGGCCACTTAATAGCAAAGCCCCGGAAAATGTAGGGAGTGGCAGATTTTTTAAATGTGCCTAAAATTCCTTATAAGAAATAATTAAGAGCAATAGTATTAGCCAAAATTGACTTCATCTAAGTTGCTTACACAATTTTCAATCTCCCAACCCTCACTCATCATCCCCTTGTCTGTGTACTCTATGCTAAAGAAGTGTGGGAAAGGAGAGAACGAAAGTTACCTTGGCAAGTCAGACAGCCCCCATTGGCCAGAAATGGGCTTTGTTATTTTGCTGATGTCCTCCAAAAAGCCCAATAACCTAGCTATTCATGATGCATTCAACTAAGCATATTGTGAAGAGAGAAAAGACAAGACAGAAAATTGTGTTTAATTAGTGGGAGATGATTCCTCATGAATGCACAGAAGATTACTTTTCTGTGACAATTTCATAACAGTGGCCTGAACTGTTTGAACGTTTGTCACAAATGGGAATTTGGGGCTTTTATTCTTCCTTTAGCAAAAAAAAAAAAAAGTATTGTTTCCTGTCATTTTATCCAAACTAAGTCTTTCACAGAAGTACACCTGCTTTGTTGTTTTTTTTTTGTTTTGTTTATTCTGAAAAGTGCTGATAAAGTTATTTGTCTTCATCCTTATAGGCTATTAGCTGTTACCCTACAGCTGTTGGATCCAATTTATCACATGCAGGCCATCTCTGATCAGAATACATAATTGTTTAGCCTTAATGTAAAATACAATAAAAATGGAAGGAAGCCAGAAAATCCCCATTTCTCTTCACAGGCTGTTAAGCAGTTTTAAAACATCCCCATTCCCATTTTTGCCCTCAGGTTCCACCTTTAATTCCTTTTACAACAAATCCCCAAACAAACTAAAACCTCTCCTACCTAACTTCTGTAGCCCCTAACCTCTCCACCTCCTGTCATTGCTGATCGTTATTTGACTCATGCAAATGATGAATCTGGTCTTTTCCTTTCTTAAGAGAGCCTGCCTGACCTTTTGGGTTGCCTCAGTCAGCTGGTAATGGAGCAAGCTAGGCTTCTTCCTTTAATTAAGGTGTCCAGGAGACACCTTAGTCCAAAGAAAAAGGATTGTATTCAGGTGAAGGAACAATGATAGAGGCATAACAGGAAGAACTGAGCTTTATACATTCTTTGGAATGTTTGATCATCAGGTTGAAATAGAGTAACTTACTTTATATACAGTACTGGTATCCAACCTTCTGTGCTCCAAGGCTATACCAGAAACTCACAACCTCTAGTGATAACTATGAAAACTAGAAAGCCCTCAAATATAGGCCTGGTCACAGACTTTGTCTTCTGAAGGCCATGGAGGATCATAACAAGGTTAACCATGGAGTGGTTTTTTTGGCCTAAGCAATTGTCATGGACAGACAGGAAAAAACCCACGTTTGAAGTAAGCAGGAATTAGAGTAACTATATATCTTATTTAGAGGAGGAAAAAAAACAAGTTTATGTTAACTAGCCAGCTGTTAATCGCAGGCAGTTGCTGAATTATCTAGACAATTGCCTGAATTCTTCACCCAGCTTTGACAGTAGTCAAAAGTCTGATCAAACAAAGCACCTTTTTCATTTATTGGCTAATTCCATCAAAGGCCTAGGAAAGCCAGATATCTTTTTTCCCCCAAATCAAAGAAAACCAGGTTTTTTTTTCTTCAAGTTAGACAATTAATTAATTAAATCTCTAATTAATACTCCTAAGGTGATTTAAAGATAAAGAGTGCTAGAGTAGTTTTTTTTTTTAAAGTGATAGATATGATTAAATCTCAGTGTACAGATTATTCCTGTGTTTATCTATGGGATGTATAAGTAGATTCCTACTGTGAGTAAAAACATCTCAAAGGCAATTTGCAAAATGTTTGAAGTAATTCCCTTTGGCCTCAGTTAAGTTTCATTGCTGCTTTACTATTAGGGCAGAATCTTATTTAAAGGAGTTGTGTTTTGTCATTCCCATTAATAAAATTAATAAAATAATATCAGATCTATAGCTAGGAAACTTCCATAACTGGGCTTGGAATTTCACCTGAAAAGCCCTATTACTTTAACATCTCCATTGGATGAAAGGACTAGTAAGAATGGAGTCAGGAGAGGGACAGCAAGGCCAGAATAAAATCATGCCTACATCTGCTTTATTTCCACTGCCCGAATTCACATCCTCATATGAAGTGGCATTTATAATGAGAGGAAATGACTGGCTGGGGCAGGTGTTTCCTGTTTCCTTTTTCTTTCCTCCTTTCCTCAGCCACATCATATTACAGAAGAAAACCCTTGCTGACGGAGCAGGTAAGCCCAGCATCCCAACTCCTATTTAAGCAGGACAGGTGGTTTAAGAAGCTTTTACTTAAAATCTTTGGGTTAGCATTCAGTCTCTACACCCCCAAAAAGTGAAAGAGTGTGAAGGAGCTACAGAATTTCAGTTCCTATGCTATTATTTGACTAATTCTGTCTCTTTAGGAGAAGAATGTTTCACATCTGGGAATTAAAAAAAAATTTATACAAAAAAATGCAGATGTTCACATCTGCAGTATGTTTTCTAATGTTCGACCCCCACCCGCCCATAGGCTTTTTGGCTCAGCCTATAAAAGGATCTAAAATGGTCTAAACTGATTAATGACAGATGTGAATTCTCTACAGGCCACTTATTTTTTATCTCTCACACATTTTGTTATTCTTGTTTTGAAACATTTATTGGTGCCTGTTTGAATGAATCCTGAAAGCATCTGTAATAAATTGGCTTCACTCATGTTAGTGAACAGAAGCCCATATTACAAAGCCATTTAGAAAACATTAACTAACAGCAGCAGCTAATGCATAAAATAAAAATTCCTGGAAAGCTTAAAATACAAAGAGGGGCTTTGAGACAGTCTTAAAAATGTGCCTCACTCTTATATAATACACAATACATTTGTTCTTATTACATAGGATCATAGGTTTAAGGATGGAAATAGTGGACAAAAATAAACATGTTTAGGATAGGACTAGGGAGAAGCTAGATCTGTGTTTTCAATGGTATAGGGAATGCCCAGAAGAGGAAACCCTCTCTACTAGACCAGGTCACTACCTACTTTGAAATTTAGAATCTTAAAAAGTTATCTAGAGGCTAAGAGTTACTTACCCTAGGTTACACAGAAAACATGTATCTGAGTCAGCACTTGAACCCAGGTCTTTCTTGTTTATGAGACCAGCTCTCTATTCACTATACCACACTACCATCACAACCATGTTTAAAATTTGCAAATTCAGAGATATATTCTGTAGCACAGTATTGACTACAGTTGAAAAAAAATTAAGCCCAGTTCCAATGGCTTATTTTAGTGCAAAGGTGAGCCTGGATTCTTAAACGGTATTGTCACTGGAGTATAAACTCTGGTAGATTTTTTCATGCTGGAAAAACTTTGAGTAATGAGTCTGTTTTCCAAGGACCAACTTAGATGAGTACAGATAGGCTCATCAAAATTAGTCTGGCTACTTGGTAGTAAAAGTTTTTGACCATGGTAATCCATAAAATAAAATAATGCACCATCCTCTGTGTGTGCATAGAAAGAAGACAGCACAGTATAGCCCCACTATTCTGGAAGAATAGAAGCATACACTGTTACTTTTCTACTTGTATCTCTGACATCTAGTAGTACTTATCACATAGTAGGTGCTTAATTTGTAAATAAATGCCAGTTGAGCTTTGGTAATGAGGTTACTGTCATTTCTCATATTAAAAAAATAAGCTGAGATGCCTCCCCCCATTGCAAGATGATGGGAGTTTTAACTTCGGTAGTCTTATGCATACTTCCACCTTTTGTTTTTTTTCTTTTTTTTTATTAATTTATTTTGATTTATCAATAATCACTTNACAAGATGATGGGAGTTTTAACTTCGGTAGTCTTATGCATACTTCCACCTTTTCTTTTTTTTCTTTTTTTTTATTAATTTATTTTGATTTATCAATAATCACTTCCATATGTTTTTGAGTTTAAAATTTTTCTTCCCCTTCCACCCTTCCCAAGACAGCACAAAATCTGATATAGGCTATACATTTACATTCATATTAAACATATTTTCACATTAGTGTTATTGTAATACTTCCATCTTTTCGATGCTTTATGTGACCAAGAAATATCCAGGCAAGGTGGGTGTGCTAAACCTTTGGCTTGCTTTTTCTCTCTCTCCAGTGCCTAGCCCCTCTTGTAACGGCTTTGACAATACAGTGACAAGGGCTTACCGCTCACCACTAGGAAAGCAAATATGCTTCATCGCAACTGTTCGTCTGGCCACACCTCAGTTTCTAAAGGCAAGTACACTGTGTGAGATGTTAGTGGTGGGAGATGCTCAGAAACATTGCACGTTCTTGAATTTCCCACATCAGAGCCATACGCTGTCCTGTTGTTCACCACTTCGGTCCCACTCTAGATAATCCAAGCAAAGGATGGACAATTTGAGAGATATCTGACTTATGAAATCAATGTGGGCCTCCACAGTCAGCTCAGAGGGCAGTGTGCCTCGATGCTGCTGATGCTGCTGCTGCTGCTGCAGCAAACAAAAATATGGCCTATCACCTGGCAACTGGTTCTTTGTTTTGTTTTGTTTGCCTTTCTTTGTATCCCCTAATACTTAGCATAGTGCCTAGAATGTATTAAGTGCTCAATGAATGCTTGTTTACTGATTAACTAACCTGATGATTTCCCATTTATTAAAAAAATGTGTCTCTTTTTGCTTCTTTCATCTGATACCATTAGGGGAGATATTATAGTTTTTTTAGGAGGTGGCAGAGAAGAGAGAAAAAGGAATGATAGATGGAGGGCAGGGAGAGAATACTTGGGAAAAAGATAAGTCCATGATCCCACTATATCAAATTTTTGCTTCCAAATCTCCCTTTCACTTATCACTTAGGACAGTCAAATATTCACCTTTACTGTCGCTCAATTCCCATTCCACAGCTGAAATCATATTTTTAAGACAGCAGTTGACTGAAGGCCAAAGTATAAAAATGTGCTTTTATCAGTCTTGTGGGCCTTACCCCTAACCATGCCAATATAAATAGTAAGCATTTATATGGTACTTTAAGGTTTGCAAAGTACTTTATGAGTATGGAGGTAGATGCTGTCAAACTATCCTCATTTTACAGATGAGGAAACTGAGGTTGGCAGGGGTTTAAGTGACTTGCCCAAGGTCACACAGCTAATAAGTGTCTGAGACTGGATTTAAACTCAAGTCTTCCTGACCCAAGTCAAAATTTGATATTAATATCTTTAAGAGCAGGAATGAGAATCAAGTGTGTTAAGTTGGAAAAACTGAAATCTTTGGCTCTTATGAGGTTATTTTGTCAAATTAATGTTAATATTGCATGAGATTTATATTGGGGGTGCAGACTAAAGACCATTTTCCAAAAGTTGACCTTTGTTATATAGACAGTACATGAGAAGGGAGTGGAATGACATTTTGACTTCCTTAGTATTTTTCCTCATCCTGTGAAATAAATTTAGTGTCAAGGCATCCTGAAATTAGGTACAGATGATGTATTTCATTGCAACCCAACTTGGAGCCCTAGGAAGTTTCTAATTTCTTTATTCCTATCACCTGCTCCATATCCTTCTGAAGCAGAAGCTGACAAAGCAGGATTGAGCATCTGGCTTACTTCAGTAATGAACATTTCTCCTCCTGCTACAGGAAATGTGCATAGTTGAAGAACCTTTAGAGGAATTCACTTCAAGACATAGCCTGGAATGGAAATTTTTATTTCTGGATCACAGGTTTGTGAAAAATCAAAATATATTTTGATTAAGTCCCTTTTCAGTGCTGTTTATATGAACCATTCTTTCCCTGGGAGAGGAAAGTAGGTTAGACCTTTTGAAGGAGAATGAAATCCTGGCTGTAAGAACAAACATTCCAACCCAAGTATGACGCTAAGTTTCACTTTGACTTCATTGGCCTGCACTTGGATGTCTTTGTTGTATTCAGGGTCAGGCGGGCCCAGAGGGAAGTGAAGCATTTGCTAGTGAAGCATCTTTGCAGAGGTTAGAGACTTTTAAATCTAGTGGTCCTTCCTTTTTGGGTCTCTATAGAAGTTAAGGGGCAGCAGGGAAACCTCTGATCACATTTCTTTCAGGTGCCTTTTAAGTCCCATCTTGATTTTTTTTCATTAATTTACATTTCATTAATTAATTTGGAACAAAGTACTAGACATTTTGTTTTTCCTTTCTCTCTTCATTTTGTTTTGTGGTTGGGTTAATATGTTGTTTTTTCTCCTTTGACTGTTTTGAGATCTTGGTTGCTGGCTGATCCACTCTCTAATTTTTTAAATGTTATCTGGAGATTATACTCCTTATTATTTTGTCCAGAATATACCCAAGGAAAGTTTTACTCATTTACAGAATATTCCCATGGATCTTTGGGAAATGTGGCCTCACTCTGTTTCAGGCTTTTGTAAAGCTGTGGAAATTTTCTTTTCTTTTTGTCCTTAAAGACCATAAAACTCTAGCCTTTCTTCTGAACATAAAATATCCTGAATATCTTGAGTTAAATAAAAGGCCCAGCCACAATCACTTTCTGAAATAGACTATATATGTGTGTTTGTTTTCTTATCACCCTTCTGCAGAGCTCCACCAATCATAGGATATTTGCCTTTTGAAGTGCTAGGTACTTCTGGCTATGATTATTATCACATAGATGATCTAGAACTCCTAGCCCGTTGCCATGAACACTGTAAGTATGACACTATTTAAACTTAGGGGTAACCTTCTTTGGCAGGTATGGGCTCCATGTGCTACAACAGAAGAATTAGAATTTTGCATCTTTAAGTCAGTTCACCTACTGGTTGAATTTAGAGTATTGAGGGATTATGCTTCCTTTGGAGTAGTCCTTGGAAAGATGGTTCTACTTGGAGAAGTAGGTTGACTGTAGCATCAAAGCAATTCTCAGCTCTATGTATCAGTTATACAGGAATTTATTCATGTTGAATTTCCAACTCTGACGTGGCTTCTTCCTGCCACCTACCATAGTCCAAGTCCCTTCCCCATTGCTCATCTTGACTGTGCCTAAAGAACACAAATTAATGTAAGATTAATTAAGAAAGTAACATTTGGAGGGGTGGGCTGTGGGAGAGGTGGGGGAGAAGAAGATCATATAGTATATGTTTCAGAGCCAGATTAATTTACATCATTCACTACTTTTGAGTGTCAATATCGTGGCTCTTTTCCACTAAGTTAATAAATGTATTTCCAATCTATTGGTTATTTGACCCATTATTTGTGAGTTTTGAAAAAGTAACAGTCTGAAGATTAATGCTAAATAGAGGAATATGACAAACAACTTATTTATCCGCATACAGTACTTGTTGATAGAAACCACTATAACTTCTCAGATCTAATGCTTGTTGAGAGAAGAATACCCTTAGGTACCCCACTAGATTAGCTATCAGAGTATTATGCTAATCTTTAAAGCTATAAGCCATTTAGTTGCCTTTGACTTTGCTGACCTCACAATCCCTTGCTCCTTGAGGAATTCTTTTTGATTTCTAAAGGATTTTAGGGGTGGTTTTGTTTGCTTGTTTAATTGAGTTGCCATTGTTGTTATTTCTGGTGGGATAGGGAAGCCTCCCTCTAAGCATAGATTAGGCATTCTTTGCTCTCTTTGACCTACTTTTCAGTATTTTATGCTTCTCATCTAAACAAATATCACATTTTACAAAAGACTGTCTAGGATTTAAGTGGTTTTAAATTTCTAGTTGTGATTTATCTTTATCTGCTCATGTAAGAAATGTCAAATCTTTGTTACCTGGCCCTAGGATCAAACATTCTTCCCTGTCCAATCCAGTAAATTGTTAGCTTTTCTAGAGTATACCCATAGATACCCCTAGGAATTCTTATTAGCAAATGGGATAACAGGATGGACAGATCAAAGCTGTACTGCAGGGTGGGAGGAGGGGAGAAGAATTCTACATCAAACTTTATTTTAGAGCTGCATTGACTAAGTATAAACTGCTGACTGACAGCCACAAAATTAGTCCAAAGGTTGATAGCTGTCAGTTCTATTTTTGGGTCCAGTTCTTCCAGGGCTGCATAGAATCCTTTACCAGGCCCCAGTGTCTTTAAAGACAACTTTAGAGAGACTGTGATATTATGTTCCAGAAAATCTGGGACTATTTTTAATTAAAACTTATTTTTAAAATGTGACAGTATCTACCTGTCGTAGGGGAGCTTCTTAGTTTTTAAGCTGTAGAAAAATTCCAATTAAAGTGTTTCTACTTCTTAAGTCTGTGATTGTATTGCTCTCCACCTAAAAAGTTAAGGGAAGGAGATGAGAGGCATGAGCCATGTTTGATATTATCATTTTAAAAAATCATTAATTATATTTTTATAATGAACTTTAAAAGAGATCATTTTCACATTTTTTAAAATTTGTTATATGCAGTGTACATTTTCTACTAACAGTGATGCAGTTTGGCAAAGGAAAATCTTGTTGTTATCGGTTTCTGACCAAAGGACAGCAGTGGATATGGCTCCAGACCCATTACTACATCACCTACCATCAGTGGAATTCCAAGCCAGAGTTCATTGTCTGCACACACACTGTAGTCAGGTACTGTAAATGCCTTTCTCCCTTGGGTTATAGCTGATCAGTGTGTCTCTGGCTATCTCTGTCACAACCAGTCTATCAACTTTTATTAAATGCCTATGTGCCAGACATTATGTGCTGGGGATACAAAAAGAGGCAAAAGACAGTTCCTGCTCTCAAGGAGCTTACAGTCTAATCTACCATACAAACAAATATATACCAAGCAAGCTATGTACAGGATAAATAGGAATAATTAACAAAGGGAAGGCACTAGAATTAAGAGAGGTTAAGAAGACTTCACAGAGAAAACTGGAGCTTTGACAATTATCAGGCTAATTAAACAAGCCTAAAGGGCCAAAAACAGCTTTTCCATCCCATTCCAAGAGGCCCATGTACACACACACACACACACACACACACACACAAACACACACATCTAACAATCAACTTCACAAATAAAAGATGGGTCTGGGCATAGAGTGACTAGACAATAGCTTCTTCAGAAAAAAAAATACAGGGGAAAAAAAGAAAGAAAAAGATAAAGGGGTTTTAGTAGACTGCAAGCCGCAAGCTCAAAGTGAATCAACAGTATGACATGAGTCAAAATAAAAATAGCTAATACTGTCCTAGAGTACATTAAGAGAAGCATAGTATTCAGAAGGAGGGATTAAATTCTGGCTTGGTTAGGTTGCATCCTGAGTCAAGTTGAGTTCTGGGTACCATGTTTCAGGAAAAATACACAAAGCTAAAGCATTCCTCAGAGAAGACAACCCAGCTGAAAAACTGCCTGGAAAACATACCAGAAACGATTGGATGAGAAAACTGGGGTGAGGGAGTCGCCTACCAAAAAGACCTAGAGGAGACCTGAAAGCTGTCTACAAACATCTAAAGGATTCTCATGTGGAAGAGGGACAAAGAATTCGTCTAGTTGTCCCCAGAACTAGGAGCAATGCATAGCAGTTGCAGAGCGACTGATATAAGGATATAAGGACATTATGCTGATTGTCAAGACATGAGACACTGCATTCTTCTTCCTCCTTACCGCCTACCCACCACCCAGAGGTATATAATCACTCAAAGGTGTTTGGCCTGCCCATCCATACAGGAAAGACCAAATGGATGAAGAATGTCTATTGCTTTCTTCTGTGTGTGTTAAGTGTGAGAGTGTGTGTGTGTGTGTGTGTGAGAGAGAGAGAGAGAGAGAGA